ATATAGAGCGTTATTAAATTTATTGCTAAAGCAATCATATGGCACACTGACTTCTGAACACAGAAAGGTTGCCTACCCCTGGTTTAAAGTATTCATAGTGTAAATACAAAAAACAAAAACAAATAAATCATAGGCAGCTAAATAACAAAAGGTTTGAATTAAAGATAGTGTTACAGGTGTGCAGATTGATCGCAATGTTGACAGTATCGATACCAACCCTGGTTTTAAACATGAACTATGAAAAATGTCTCTACCGTTTTTTGTTGACTGTCATGTCTATTTTATTTAAATAACACGCTAAAAACAGAAGCTGAGCCAGAGTTTAGAGACAGGTACTTTTACACTCCAAGTCTCCCCCCGAAAAAAGAAGAAAAAAACACGTTTCAAAATACACCAAAAACTGAAACGTGGTTTTGTTGTGTTAACTAATTATTTTTATAGGTATATATCACCACTGGTGATTTTGTGGTCATTAAAACGTGTTCAGGGTTTACAAATTAATGATGAATCATGACACACAGATCTCCCCTACATAAGCTGCCTTTATAGGTTAAAAGTATCAGCAACACTGATCCTGGCTTTACTTACACGTAAATAAGAATAACACAGCGCCAAACGCGGGGAGGTTTAATGTTGCATAAATACATGTTACGCTCCACCTGTGCTCACGCCTAATTAAACATACCCACTTATACCCAGCTCCTCACCTAGCCCACCTTCAGCGCTGTTTTCCGCCTTGTGATTGCACCAGTGCTCACACGCTAGCGCGCGCGAGGAGGGTGAGCGGCACGTGCATGCGCCCGTTCCACCTGGCCCAATCACGTACGAGGAAGCTGAGAGCAGCGCTACAGTCTGCCGCCGCTGCCGTGGAGCCTCGCATTGACCCGCAGCTCGGCCAGCAGCTCACCTGACAGGGCTGACAGCCCGAGAAGACCACGCAAGATTTTCTCCTCTGAAAAGTATCTTTCGCTAACACCAACGGCGTCGGAGCCCTGTCGTCCGTCCGGTGAGTCAAGCGGGACGGTAACCGCCGCATCATCACGCTCTGTGTGTGTATGTGTTATGTGTTTGTGAATGTGCGGTGTGTAACTCAGGTGTGGAGAGTCGTTGCACCGTGAGGAAGCATTTTAGTGAGGCGATGAGCGTTTAACCTTCCTGCTCCTTTGTGGGGGTTTTCTCTGAGGTGACAGTCGAGGTGTTCTGCAATGCAGTCCAGGTTCAAAATTACATCATTTTGGTGATTTGGTGTAGTTCAAGCCCTGAATCTGTTGCTTTGCTGTGCATAAACGTCATGACTGTGTATCTCAGTATTTCTCTGTAGGACTTGACAGCATCAGTTTAAAATAAATAAAAAATACTTAGAAATACTTGCTACATTACATTTCATTTTTCCTCCTTAAAGAAAAGTAGTTAAAGTTCTCCATTTAAACTATTTGAAAAGTTTCTTTATACAAGAGTGTAAAATACTCATGATTTTTAATTAAAATCAGGAAGTAACCTATCACAAAATTAAAATGTAAACAAATATGATTAGTGTGTAGTGCTCCTTTGGGGCTTTTGCATTTCCTGAAACTTTGTGCCAAAGTACAAATATATTGATTATAGCTTATATGCATATAGAGTGTGTTACTACTGGAGTAAAAACAAGTGTTTCACCAGCACAAGCTAATCCAACATGTAAGTCAGTGCTGGTTTTGTCTCAGCCCCTGCTTTCCTTGGCTTTTGTACACTGCTATCCATGCCCAGATGAGTTAGTGGAGTCCATTCAAGTGCTGGGAACAATATCCTTCAGAGGGGGGGAAAAAAGGGGGGTGTCTCCTTGGGTCAGGTCAAGGGGGGGTGGGTCGCCCCCCGGGTTGCTGTGGAGGCAGAGAGTAACATGGAAAACTCAATGCTCTGACGTCAGCCCGAGGAGGAAGATATTTAAGGGGGTTTGATTTATTTGTGTGGGAGCAGGAGAGGGGGCTGAATAGTTGGTGGCAACTTGGGTCCCAAACATGCCCAAATCTGTTAGCTGTGAGCTGTCTAATACAGGAAAAGAGCTCAAAATGAAATTAAAGGCAAGGAAGCGTGCCACGCCTTTCACAGTGCGCCTCTAAGTGTTCAGAGTGGGTAATGTCAGCTGTATGCATGTGTACCTGTGGGTAGTCTTTCCCAGGTATTAAAATGTATCCTAATGAAGCCAGCTCAAGTGTCTTGGTGCCCCTGGGTAAACACTTTCCTCACTGCCGTGTAAACATGTTTGCATTCCCGTCATGTTAAAACCTACTGTTGTCTCTATGGTGACCTGAACACCTGCTTTATTTGTCACCTTTTGTACACCCGATTCTCACTCAGGATGTGTTGGTTAAGGCCTAGTTTCCTCCAAAATCATACACAAAATAATGTGATTAATGCTTAAGCTTCTGTGGCAGTCAGTGAAGCCAAGCGGTGCAGCGAGATTTGCTTAAAGCCGATCTTGGCACAAGCCTCATATTGCTGAAGCAACAACTGGAGCCCAGAGAAGATAGACAGGCGGTTGCCTGCTGCAGGCCAGACACTGAACACCTGTTAACAAAAGAACAAACGTGAGATGAATAAAGCTCTTCTCGCTTTTTTTTTTTTTTTTTAAATATAAATCTGCAGCCTCACAGACGGTGTATCCCGCGCCATCTCATCCCTCCATTAGTGTCACTATCCCGCCTGAGTAGGTTTTGGTTTCACCTGGGTTTCTCTTCCCTCTGTATTTTTTATTAGGTTAGATTCGGGGCTTGTTTTGTGATAGGATGTGTATTGTTGTTCTGGAAAATTCCCTCTGAAGAATCTTTGGCCATGCTTTCTCATCATTAAGGCTTTATTTCCTAGTAAAAATACAAATCCTGCAAAGTACTACAGAACTAAAATACTGTGGTGTACATGGTGTTTTCTGAGCCTTCAGGGATGACATAAGCACGATCAGCATGATACAGTAAAGGCAGTGAGTTTGTGTTATATTTAACAGAACGACACCCATTTTTCTGTTAGCTCTGACCAGCTAACAAACTGTCTGTTCTGTTTGTAAAGAAATCATTGCATCTACATTGCCATTTATTGCAAAACTAACAGAAAAACAGAAATTAAATACTTGCATGCAGACTGCAGCCAGAACCTCACAGATTTGAAGCAGAAATTCCTTCATAAATACTGACGTGGTTGCTGCAGGGCTGGGGTTTAACTGCAAGATGACTTTGGAGCTTGGTTTTATATTGGAATAAAAGCAGAATACAACCAACAACTAAGTCCCCCGATGCAAAGAGACATGTTGCAGGCAAGTTGCCCTCATTAGCAACTTGTCTGCATTCATAAATTAGACTGCACTTATTTGCAAATCTTCACCTATCTGTTTAAGAGTGACTGCAACTGTTTGGAGACGGGTTGCCTCGCACTTGACGACCTGTGCAATCGCCCTGTGATCGGAAGGGATTGCACAAGGAGGCTGCTGTCCTTTTTTTTACTATAGTGAGTCAATGTGGAGAAAGGCTCGGGTATAGTGAAATATCTCAGTGGTGTCATGCCAGTCCTATTAATTATAACCAGAGATATTGTAAAGCAATGACATGAAAGTCATATTGAAATACAAAGTAGACTTTTGTAATGCCAAAGTTGCTCCCTCAGACCCAATCATCAACTTATAACTGGTGAACAAGGACTCGCATCATCCAAGCCAACATGGCAGCTGAAGTTCATGACAGTTTCAGTTATTGTAGCAAAGATCTTTTTCTTGGGTATCACTGTCCATCGTGTGAATGAGCACAGCATTTGTTCAGTGCCCTGGTGCGATGGGGACAGGCGCTGATTTTGTGTGTAACATTAATGAATCTGTAATCGTATAGAATAAATATAAAATTGAGAGAACAGCTTTTTTGAGCCTCGTTTTTAAATCAGATTTGACTTGTGAGTCAATACGTGCTGTTTTACAGTAGTCACCAAGACTTTTAGTCATTCATATAGATGATGGTATGGTGTAAGTTGCACAAATTAACCGTGGAGATGGCTGCTTATCTTTTTTTTTAGTTTAACTTTTTGTCCACTCACTAAATTGCCTGAAGATGAAATTTAGCTCAAGAAAACATCTATTACCCAAGTAGATCTTTTTAAAAAAGCCTTTGTACAAATAGCACAAATACTTAATCCAAAATATCAACAGTGCTGCAAATTAATCACTGAGTCCATTATTAATTTCAGCAGTAGTAGAAATGGTGCTAAGTTTGACTCTGATGTGTCGAACGCTCTGGTACACATACTAAATGAGGTGTTGGTCCAAACATGTTCTGCTTGGCTGGTTATTAAGAGGATTGGCACAGATTTTTTTTTTTTGTTTGTTTGAGATTTAGCACTGGTATTACTGCTGGTTATATGATTAAATGAATTCCCTCCGGAGTTGCAGGTTAGCTGACAGGTGTGGTACCACCAGTTCCACAGCCAGGATACTCATTCATATTGGTCTTAACTGAAGCCTGCTTAAACAGTAATTGACAGAGGCACCTCGCGTGCTCTGCAACTGGCAGCTTTAATCTTTAAAATCTGAAAACCTCGTTTCAGTGGCAGGCTGCTATTAGCAGATTTGTGCTAAGCTAGGGGGATATGTTGTGTTTTGGGCTGCTGTAGGTGTTTGTGGTACACAGTGAAGGGAAGACAGTTACAAGGTTAATTTGAGGTTTGGCATCCAAAGTTAAGATATATTTATACTAGGCTGTTGTCTTCAGCCACGAAGTGATTTGGAGTTGATGTAAGCTGTAATATAATTCGTGACGCTGTTGGCAATCCTTGTGTTTCACCCATTTACAGCTTTAAAGTGCAAAATCATTTCTCCTAGCTGTCACCAGGCTAGCGCTGTTTCTCAGTGCAGCAGAGACAATGAAAACAAAGGCTTTAAACATGCAGGGAGGCTTTTCTATTGTTGTCCATGACTGATCTGTTTGAGATAGATTTGTCAATAATTACAAAGAAGATTATTTTGGCTGCTGGCAAAGGAAATGAAGCCGGATTGAAAAACACATTCACTGACTAAGTAGTTTTTAGAAGACAAAAATAAAACAGAGTCCCTCTTACAAATCAAACATTTCATTCATGATTCCTAAAAAACAAATGGTCAGTACACTTCTTTTCCTCAGTGCCAGGCTCAAACTATTTCACCACCATGATTTAATAATGTGTCTTAACTTTAATATTACATTTGCCTGTTTTTGGTCAACTCACTGTTACTGTTATTTGATATAATAAAGCAGCTGCCTGTCTAATCTAAGTCGGATAGCCAGTGTTGAAGTACAAAAGTCTTGAAGACCCGTGTTTCTTTCAATTTTGCTTTCAAGGAGTCAGACTTCCTTTTAATTTCTTTTATAGAAAGGTCTTTAGCAACAGCTCTCCACGCTTTGTGAAGTTTTCCTTTGGACATTGACAGCTTTTTCACCAATTTTCAGTCCAGTCCTTAAATGTGACATTTTCATAGGAATGTTTTTTGTGGCTATTAAGCCACTTAACACCGACCTATGAATCATTCAAGCATGAAAAAGGCTCCAAACCGAAGGGATTGACAAGTGTTGTGTTTACACATAGTAGACAAAGAATAATTTAGGCACTTTGTTTCTAGCAGCCTTTCACAAAAACACAAAAATGTATCATCAGATTTAGATCCACCATGTAATACTGTGTGAGAAGCATCAACTTTTTCAGCTTTCAGCGTGACAATGGTAAATGGACTGATTATTATTTAGCAGAGCACTCAAAACGCTCTATACAACATGCCACATTCACCCATTCACACAAGCACTTTCTTCTAAGCTTTTAGTGCTTCCTAGCTTCATACACAGTCATACTCCGATGGATGTATCGGAGAGCAATTTGGGGTTAGTATCTTGCCCAAGGAAACTTGACATGCAGACTGGAAGAGCCAGGTATTGAACCCACTAACCTTCCGAAAAGTGGAATGCCATCAGTCATGGGTTGGCTTCCTCACAATTACTGAAGCAGTGAACATATTGACAGAGA